CAACGATTGGCTGCGAGAGCGTCATAACAACACGGACAATACTTTCCCTGGACGTGTAGAGATTCAATGCCGAGACTAGTTTGATCAACAGTTGATAAAGTGCACTGTATAGACCGACACGCGGAGCGGCTCTGTTTACCAACACGGCCGGAAGGCCGCGCATGCGCGGTAGCTATGTGGGCAAAAGCAGCCCGCCTCTCCGTGTTTTCGCCATTGCGTTCTATGGCGTGCGCTCGTTGTTGACGTTGTAGGGACGCTTGTATCTTTAGTTGTGCGACGTATTTCCTCACAAAGTATGTCGTATGCTATGCCCGACTATTTGAGCTCGTGGCCCGAGCCTGAACGGCAGCGGTATCGAAACAAACTCTGCGTGGACGGCGTTGCCTGCGAGGATCCGTACGCCGTAAACAAGGCCTGCTGGACTCCCGACGTGAAGTTGCTGCCACCGAAGTCGACGGCTCAGGTCGTCGTTTATTTAGCTTCTTCGCCAAGCCAGTTCACGGCCGACACGGTGCAGGCGTACAAGTCTCTCGAGGTCTACGATTACTTCGAGTCGGTTTCCGCACTGCCGGCGGGATTAGCAGACTCTGCGTCTGCGGAAGTGTGTGTATTCATTATTTGAATAAATGCACACAGCGTCTTCAAGTCAAGGTATGATATTTTTCCTACCCTCATGACCACAAGGCATGACAAGCAGTAACGGTTTGTCCGTTCTGCAGTATTGGCGGTAACAGGTTACAAGTAACGACGTTGTTGGAACCCGTTACTTTTTTCAGTAACGTAGTAACTATACTCGTTACGTTTTCGACACAGTAACGGGTAACGTACTTATGTTACTATTTCTAGTTACGTTAGTCGTTACTACTTCCCAAGTCTTAAAGAAATTACACCTCAATTTTTTCCGTGTTTTAGGCGTCTAGCCATGTTTTTCTTTGCGTTTTTTCTCATAAGTATTTAGGTGAAACCGTAAAAAGAAATAAAGTAATTATGTTCAGTTTCTGCATGAGCATAATGTTTCTTGATATATGACCTGTATCGTCAAAACCGTAAAATGTGTTAGATTATAATTTAAAAAAGTAACGCACAAGTAACCTGCGTTACTTTTTATCGGTAGCGGTAACACGTTCCTTTTATTTTTAGGTAACGTAGCTCAGTAACGCGTACCTTTTAATTGCAAGGAACGAATAACGTATTTCGTTACATTTTTTCGGTAACGCCTACAACACTGCCGTTCTGTCGCCGTTCCCCTTCTGCTGAATAGCACGGGCGTAGCGAGCCTCCGACGAGCGTTTGGCCGGTGCTTTGTGCGCGAACACCATGGGAACAAAATCCGGGTGGTCTCGATCAGACAACGGTTTCCCTTCACATAAGCAAGCCCCGGGACGGAGATTGAAATGGAAGCCGCACTTGCCTTCAAGAGAGTGCTTGCCCCACAAACGGTCGTTCGCGCGAGGCGACCATTCTTTTCGATCCACGGATATTATCCGCCTTCTATGCCTTTCAGAGTCTGCCGAGAACTTGTGGAAACTCACTCCGCTGTTTTTCTTGTACATTTCGGTGCAATTAACGGCAACACAGCTTCGCGGCATGCTGAAATGCTATGACGGCCATGCGAAACGTGCGCGCTTTTGCCCACACCCCCCGGCTCCGTCGCGATCGCAGCGCCGCCGCAGCTCCGTGACGTCAAGCCCGCGTGTCGGTCTATTGGCGCGGAGTGGCCGCCCTCTAATGAGATAAAATATTAGAGCAGAGAAGATCGCGCGACTCGATCACAAGTGTATCAGCGCTCTTTCCGTTCCTTTTTTCAAAAAAGAATTACGCTCCTAGGCGAAATAGTCAATGTGATGGGCACAAATTTTCAGGGTGCTTTGTCGTTTTAGAACGCAGCTCTTAGGCGCCCGTTTCCGGCTTGAGCGGCGTCGGCGTCGCCGTCGCCGTCGGCGTAACCGCGCGGTGCGTTATGGGTGAATTTTCCCGAAGGTCCTCCCGAAGGACCTCGGGTTCCTTCGAGTGGACCTCGGGAGGACCTCGGGTTCCTTCGGGAGGACCTCGGGAGGTCCTCTGGTTCCTTCGGGAGGACCTTGCAGGACCTCGGGTTCCTGCAGGAGGACCTTGGGAGGACCTCGGGAGGACCTCGGGTACCTCGGTGACCTCGGGGAGGGGGGTCACGTGACACCCCGAGGCCACGTGACCCCCCCCCCCCTCTCCCGAGATCACGTGACCCCTTTCCCCCAGAACACGTGACTTACCCTTGCCTCCTCCTCCTCAAGAGCGGCGCTCTAATTCGGCGCTACAGAGAGCTGTAAACGACTTTCATTTTTTTTTATTCGTTTCCTTTGTATCGCGCTTATCTTTCTTACACAGAAGTAAACGAAGAAACGTGACTTGTAAGTCATCACTGTGTTTGTTTTTCGAGATTCCCTCTTTTTTGTCATTGCTTGTAGCGCGTTGCTGCTGCTAATGTGAACCCAAGATGCATTAGGCGACGCGACGTGACCGACGCGATGACAACAGCCGGGACCCAGAAGGGCGGAGAAAGGATAGCTTTAAGAAGACGGCATCCTGATCCTGTTACGTCATGGCTCGTTTATGACGTGAGTGTCAATACGGAATTTTCAAGAGGTGTTTTATGTTTTATTCTTCACATCACGGGAGCTGAAATTTCGTGGAGATTTCCACGAGGAGTTCCTGGTACTTGCCACAGGGCTTTTATATAAGACTAACGACGCTCTCTTTAGGCTGGAGCGGCCCTTTAGGAAGTTTGCGTTTCAAAATATGTAATGAAAAATAACCGCTCCTTCTACTGTGCTTATCCTAAGGTACACCTGTGAGCAATATGAAGGTGAACAGCCCTCTTCTTGTTTTTGATGATCCTTCAACTTTTGGAACAAGCTCTATTCCAGAAGAGGGCTAAAACGCAAGGTTTTAGACCCCCAAACCACGTACCATTTCAGACGTTGAGAGTTAATATAGCTTTAGGGAGCCGTAAAACAGGCAAGAAACCAGGTAAGGTACCTTCATATCGCCGGCAGGTGTACGCGAGAGGCAAACTCATCCAACGTAGCGTCAACTCATTTTCAAAATCGGAACAAGCGATGTTATGTCAAACGCTTCTATACAGCTGGCCGTAGTCAAGCGCTTTATCCTATTTATATACCCGTATACCTGCTGCGCCGTTATACGTTACGCAGGGGGGGGGGGGGGGGTATAGGAGCTAAACATGACGAAAAAACTACATGCACATAAGCAAGCAAAGAGAGTGGTTCAATATGAAAGTAATATCTATGATATATCGTGGAAGCAATCAGCATCGGCAATATAAACAACTTCCTTGGGCAATACATTCTAATCACAGAAAGTTCAAAGAAAAAAGAGAAAAATAGTCTGTATGCTAACGATATTCTTCCGCTTTTTTAGAATGAATAACCTCCCTCTCAGAGATGTTTGTTTCACGCTGCAGGGATGTGTGTGTGTTTTTTTTAATTTCTCCTTATAAAATACAAACTTTTCATATACACGATGTGGAAAACAGTTCAGAAAACGCGAACTATGACAAAAACAAAAGAAACACGACAGGACAATGCATGTTTTTCATCTTTTTCGCAGTCCGCGTTTTCTGAGCTGTTTTCCCTATCATGTACAACGTCAACCAACTGGCTCAGCTCAGCACCTCATAACATGTTACTAGTTTTCGGTTACAGAATTATCTACGTGATCGCTCCATTTAAAGTTAGATGATAAAAAAAAAAAAAAAAAACTCCCGGTTACTTAAAATTTTCTAGCAAATAAGATAGCAAAAAAAGTTATCTTTTCTTTACCTTTTTCGGATTAAGTAACAATAATTATAAACTCTCCTTAATATACTTAACGTACTTTACGTAGTTAATGTATTTAAAGTACTTAACGTATATATAGTGAAGCGTTAAATCAAATCGTGCAAAGGTTTCGTAGCATTTTTGAGCGCATATCCTCTCTTAATGATGGATAAAGGCCTACCGTTCAGGTTTCCTATTCCCAAATATTTTGATCCGTTGGGCAAATCTAGCAGGCGCCTCTGCGATAACAAAGCAGGATGGCCGAGCTTTGAACGTCACATGAAGAGGCAAACGCGAGGCATGGATTAGACAAGTGCTGCGTCATCCTTTGGCTCAGACGCGTGTCCAATCAACGATCAGCACGAGTTTCAGCCGTACGCCGACGCAGCACTCGTCTGCAATCCGCACCCAGTGTTGCACACGTTACTAGAGAGAAAAGAAAAACAATAGATTACAATTACCACTACTTCTGTTTTAAAAGTATTCGAATAAATTACTTGATTAATTAAGAAGAAATGTAATCGGCCGTTTGTTAGATAAATAGTAATCGTTATTTTTCCAACTATTTCAAATTTTCACACGACAGATTTTTCTGTTGTTTAAAAACCGTGTCTTTCGTACCGTTTATTATTGAATTAGAATCACCAAAATAAAAACTACTTTTCTTTTTAATTCACCGATTTCAATAAACCATCCTTTTGTCGGAGACTTGGTTAAAGGACTCTATAGTACGAACGTCTTTCAAAGAAACGGCCCTGAATGATTTACCCCCATTGCCCGCACAGTTAGCCTCTGTGCAAGATAAAAACAGCCGCATCAAAATGCTAGAACGGGAGAATGCGCAACTAAGAAAACAGCTTGAACTGCAAGCGGAACGCACCGAGAAGTTAGAACGTCGCATAGAAGAGCTAATGTCCCGCTTAGAAACAATCACGAATGCACCGGCGCACAGTGCTGTGCAAGCAACGCCCACTCCGCACCCAACGCCACAGCCCTCCGTGTTTCCAACCCTACAAGATATTGGAAGGCTCGAAAGATTAATTCACAAGCTTGGCCAAACAATTGAACACCGTATCGATGCGATTGAAAAAAGGCAGGAAGCCAACGAGACAGTCAAGCGCAAGACGCAAAAGAAGACCAAGCAACCCGCCCCCAGTGACCCACCTAGAATTACGCCCTCCGACGATGAATGCGAACAGTACCATAGTGGTGAACCCTAAAAGGTCTCCCTCAACACCACTGATGATTTGGCAATGGAATTGTCGCTCATACCGCGGCAAGCAAAATTCACTATCACTGTTTGCAAACGTACATTCGCCGGCCGTTATCGCTCTTCAGGAAACTGGCACAGATCAGATAACGCTCAGGGGGTACACTACGTTTATCACCGATCCTGCCTCACGAACGGCCACTTTGGTCCAGACAACTCAGACAGCGCAGGCACACACCCTCCCCACAAATTTGGACTATGTTTTCGTAGAACTTATCCCAAAAAATAAGACACAAGCCAGCCTTTTCATCCTCAACATATATAGCCCCCCATCGCCACCCCTCAATGAAATTGACCGCCTCTTCAAGACCGTTAGACAAAGAACAAAAGGGCACGGACTGGTGATCATTGGTGATTTCAACGCGAATCCCACAATATGGGGTTACCATAGGGACAACAAAAAAGGAAGGCAACTCCATGAAGCCATTAGACAAAACAATCTTCACTTGTGTAATACCCCAGATGCCCCCACGCGGATGGGTAATAGTGTCTCACGAGACACTACTCCGGACCTTACGCTTACTTATGGACTCAAAGACCCAATCTGGGAATGGCTCACAGAAACATTGGGAAGTGAACATTATATCATACAGCTACAGCTCCCCCATCATGAGGCAGCAGCAAAAAGAATAGGCACTGCCCGTCTCACCGATTGGAGAAAATTCCGGGAAATAACACCCACCAGTCCCATCCACGCGATTGAAGAATGGACAGCACAAATGTTGGAGGCAGTTAAAAAGCACACTAAGGAATTACCGTTAACCCAAGACTGCCCCGCAATTGACGCACACCTCTTACACCTATGGGAGGCCCGACGAGGGCTAACAAAACGCTGGAAAAAACGGAGAACCAATCGAAAACTTCGCCTTCGTATAGCCCAGATAACACTAGAAGCGGCAACATATGCCATACACCTCAGCCAACAGAACTGGTCGCAGTTCTGCACGAAGCTACAAGGTACCCCGGCACCCGGCGCACGTGGCACCTGCTTCGGTCCCTTATGGGCAACAAAGAATCGAGATCGACCGCAGTCCATCAGCTCAGACGGCTTATTCATAATTATCATGGCACAGAAGAAGAGCTCCTCGAGGAGCTCAAGAAACCGTGGCATGATACGAGCGACAAGAGCCAGCCTCCCGCCCAACCGTACATGGGTACTCCCAATCCCGAAATGGACGCCCCCTTCAGGCTTGTGGAGATAGAAGCAGCGGTTTACAATTTAACCAGGAACACCACGCCAGGCAAAGACAAGATTCGCAATAAGTTGATCCGGAACCTCGACGTCACTGCGTTGGAGGCCCTCCTAAACTATATGAACGAACATTGGACTGCCGGCACGCTGCCCCCCCCCCCCCCCCCCCCCCCAGTGGAAGCATGCTGACATCGCCCTAATACCAAAACCCGGAAAACCGCTTGCTCCAGGTAACCTCCGACCCATCTCCCTGACGTCATGTGTGGGAAAGCTCCTGGAACATATGGTGCAAAACCGCCTCTCTCCATATATCGAAGACAAGGGCCATTTCCCGACCACCATGTACGGCTTCCGACCCCATCCCTCCACCCAAGATGTCCTCTTGCAACTAAAAGAAGAAATCATCGATCGGCTCACCAGCACACACAAGCATTGCATCCTTGCACTGGACATCAAGGGTGCTTTTGACAACATCTCCCACCAAGCCATCCTTCAAGGACTAACCTCTATCGATTGCGGACAACGAACCTACGACTATATCACGGCTTTCCTCACCGGTCGTACTGCAACTATCGGCATCGGACATCTCCGCTCGAACACATTTAAGACCATCTCCAAAGGCACCCCTCAAGGCTCCGTGATATCACCGCTTCTATTTAACATCGCTATGAAGGACCTTCCACCACTCTTAACAAAATATCCCACATCTAAGGCACGCAATCTACGCAGATGACCTCACCCTATGGACCCCTACGGGATCCATGGGCGAGCAACAGGACGCCATGCAAAGCGCCATCGAAGAAACACATCAATATCTCAGCGCCAGGGGCCTTGAGTGTGCCCCCGAAAAATCCGCCCTCCTTACTCTCTGCACAAAGACAGCGCACCAATGTAAACGAAGCATCCCGGATCCGGAGATCACTATAGCAGGAAAACCTGTCCCCAACGTTCCCCACCTCCGTGTTCTTGGCCTCACGATCCCCCAAAACGGATCTGGTTTCCACACCATTGCACCGCTTCAACGGACACTCTCCCAACTCATGCACCTAATACACCGTGTATCAAATCGTAGATTCGGCATGCAAGAATCTGACACATTACGAATTGTACAAGCCATACTCATTAGCCGGGTCGCCTATGGCACGCCATATTTGTCCCTCAAAACAACCGAAAAATCAAAACTTAATATTGCCCTGCGCCAAGCATACAAGACCGCCTTAGGACTACCTCCCAAAACTTCAACGAAGAATTTGTTGCTACTAGGAATTCACAACACCTGGGAAGAGTTACAAGAAGCACATCACATCTCCCAGTTAGAACGCCTTAAAGGGATACTCCACCGATTTTTTGAGCTACCTCAACTAACTGTATTTTCTGACTCCCCGGCCTTTAGCCTTTCCGGTATGCTATTTAGCATCGCGAAATTCATAATAGGTATTGTGAAATCGGCAAAGGAAAATGGTGCAAAAACCAATATTCAAATATTCGCGCACTTTTCAGTGCCGTGACGTCAGTGGCAGGCAGGCTTGCCAGTCGAGCAAGTCGTCTAAAAATTGAATATGCCAATCATTTGTTCCGTGCTGGAGCGCGGATACGGGAGCGAGCTTCCAAAGCACTCATTTGACACCATGAAACTGCTTCAAATCCGTTGGGAACAACTTCTGTAGTCCAAAAAGTTAACCCCTGCCTTCCAATGACGTCACTTTTTCATTGTTGCCAGTAGAGACTTTCAGTTTGAGAAACATGGTGAAGACCAAAACTGTAAATTCAATAACTTCGCGACAAAAAAATATTTTGACCTAATATTTGGGATACTATTTTAGCAATGTTTGTTGGTTAGTTTAGCAAAATTTCAAGCAAATCGGAGACAATGAAAAAAACGGTGGAGTATCCCTTTAAAGGGGCACTGACACATCAAAATCGTAATTTATTTTATTATCCGAAACGATTGAAAATGATGCCGGGACATTACCCTCAAAATTCGAAACTTGGGAATTCAGTATTCGTAAATTAAAAAAAACAATTTCCAAATGCCCAATTTGAAGTTCCCGCGCGATCCGCGCCAGTGCAGTGAGTCAAATTCTGCGGTCTCCTGCGACTCGACTTTCTTTCGGACCTCCGCACCAAGCTGTGAAGCAAAGCGCCGTTGCTACCGCGACCCGAAGAGAGGAGGAGGTGAGCAGGCGGGATAGAAGGGAGCCGGCGCGGGGAAAACCCGGTTTGTTCCCCGACTCGGCGATAAGCCTCTGCTCGAGCGCCGCCAAGTTTTCCGAGGGAGTTCACAAATCCAGGAAGCGACATCACACCGAAATCTGATTTTTGGTATTTCAAAAAGAAAGGCCGTAGTGCGTTCGTCATTGCGTTAAAAACATGTTTTACGATTGCCGTTATTAAATGTTATAGAAATGTCGCCTACAAAGCTTCTAAATTTCCTGATTTTTGACGTCACCGATCAAAAGAAGCAAGGAGGTGAGCGCGGGAAATATAAACGCCAAAAATAAAAAGGCGCGCGCTCGCGCGGGGAAATTTTTTTTCGCGATGCGGTTTTTTTTACGTGTCTATGACTACAACTTGCATCGTTTTAGACAATAAAAAAGAGTACGACCTTTGGGGTGTCAGTGCCCCTTTAAATTAACACCTACCGGACGAGCCACACTGAGAAAGTTAGGCTACGCGACACTCTCCTTGCAAGACCACAAAGAACGAGTACCTCTGCACCTAAGAAAAGCCATTCGTGTAGCCCAGATCCCGAAGAACATGCATCCGGTTTACAATAAGGCTCGGCGCATCGCTAGAGCACGAACCATGAACACCCAATACGGCGATAGCCCAACTGCAAGATACACCGACGCGTCCCCGTATCCGCATAAGCCAGCCCATGCTGTATGTGTAACCAATGCAGCAGGGCAAGAAATGACCGCACTCACAGTCCGCACAACATCTACAGAAGCCGCCGAAGAAATTGCCATCGCCCTAGCCGCAACGACAGGCGACGATATAATCACAGTGCTCACAGACTCTCAGGCAGCGTGTCGGAATAGGTGACCGGCGTTTGAGCCGGAAGTTTCGTCATCCGAAGCGAGGCACCACGTGACTTCACGATTCCGGTTCGTCCGATGCCGGTCGTGGTTCGTCCAGCTGCATCGAGAGCCCTTCTTGGCGTGGTAGCCGTGCTGTATTCGCGGTGAAAATGGTTCACAGTTCCGCGGTACGTTGTTCTAACGCAAGCCATAGAGGGAATAAGATGTCCCAGTTCCCGTGAAACAAAGCATGGAAGTAACGATGGACCGTCGCTGTTAAGCGAGTGATGGAGCGAAGTGACCTGGTGACAGACAAACGTCGGTAATCGTTTATGCGCGGCCAATATTGTTACAGGCCAGTAGAACGTGTTCTCTCTTCAGGTAGGGGCCGCGGGAAATAACGATCTCTAACAGTCTTTTGGCACCCACCATAAAGGTCTCAATTAATCCGCGAAGGGGTGAGCACTGCTTGTCGTTCAAGGCATCCGCGAGAACGCGGGACGCGATCTCGCAGGCAATCAGTTCATGGCATGACGTTTCGTCGATATACAGTGCCATCGCCAGGCCATTTAATTCTTATATCGACAGCTCGGATTAACTTTTTCCGTAATGAGCCGCCGCAGACTGTTCCCGCGAAGTGGCGGTGAATGGGTGGCTTACTGTGATAAAAATAAACAAAAGAACAGGTCAGCTAGCTGTAATATAAAAAAGTAAAAGCAAATGGGCAGCACCTTCATATTGAGTGATAATAAAACGGTAGTACGACCCTGCGTAGTTTATATCAAAATCGGTGCTCGTTCATGCATGCTTTCTTACTCGACATCATTAAAAAAAAAACGCGAGGGGTGGGGGGGGGGGGGGGGGTATGGTAGTTCACGGGGGACAACTTAGTTGAAGTACCGAAAACGCGTGAGTGTTAAAAAACAGGGGAGGAAGTGGCCGAGTGGGCTAACGCGTCTCAGCTCGGAGCGTGGAGCGAAAGCTTGCGCTGGGAACCTCCTGGGTTCGATCCCCGCCGCCCCCGCCCGTTTCGATCTGGATGAGTTTCGTACTGGCACGCGTTCGTGTGATCACTACTGCGTGATGCACGTTAAAAACCCCAGGTTAGTGGTTGCACTGCACCGGCTAAATTTCTCATCTACAGCTAAGAGACCGATTACCCGTTGAGGCACATCTCCATCAAGGCTGTATAAACATACAGAGCAAACCAATGTTTAGTGTTAAAAAGCAAGGATTGTCACGTAGTCAGATGTCATCGAAACTAACTTGTGTACGGATATGGCGTTTCAATCGCGCGAGAAAAAACATATTAGCTGAGTTTGAAACGCCGTCTGACCGACTTCTTTCCCTGTCTTCAACTTTTGATTGCTTCAAGATTTTCTTATCCAGTCTCAGGTGTTCCAACAAAATGAGAAAAGTACGCCAGACCTGCGTTCGGGCGTTTCAGCTGATCGCGTCCTACGGCTGACATTCGCACCTATTTCAGTCATGATGTGATCTAACTTAACCATCAAAAATAAACAGAGCCCGAATGAAAAACGCTGGCTCAAAAGGAAAACCAAACATCTAACCTGAGTTTTCATGCGAAGACCCGGAAAGCGTGGTGCGAGTGCAGCTTGCCGCCGGCCGCACTCGCTCTGCGTTTTCGTGGCCGTTCTCGATGCTTCTGCGTACCGACTACTACTCGACATATCCGTAGAAGTAACTTGAGACGTTCAGAAGTACGTAAGTCACCCAGCAGCAGAGGAAGGTGGCCCGGATTGATCGGGTTTCAACACCCGCACACGCTTCCATAGCCGTCCTGCGGCTGCGTCGGCTGCTAGCTACGAACCGGAAGTGAAGAATACCCAGAGTGCTTTGCGGCTGCTGCCAAACGCCGGTCACCTATTACCTACGGGGACGCATCTCGAAAACAGCGCTTCGCATCCTCAAGACCGTCCCCCGGCGCCCCGAAGTACGCCTAGTCTGGGTACCCGGACACGAACACCTCGAAGGTAATGAGGCGGCACATGCCGCTGCCCGCGCGCGTATACACTGGGCCATTACCCAAGAGGGAACAACCTCACTTGTTGCCCCCATGACCGACCTGCTCATCAACTATGCCGACATACTAGCCCACTACCGTCACGACCGAAGAAAATACCCGGCACCGCCCCCAAGATTATCAAGAGATGAAGCCACCACCCTCCGAAGACTGCAGACCAACACATATCCCCACAGCACCCTTCTTCACGCCATCTATCCCGCTCAATACCCCCACTTGTAATTTTTGTCCTTCTCCCGGCAACCTTTACCATCAGGTATGGGAATGCCAATGAACCCCGGACCTCACTCCCAAACCCACCCCATCCTACGAGCAGTGGATGGCCTGTCTGACCAGTTCGGACCCTGGGATCCAGCAAGACTTGGTGACAAGGGCCCGGATAGCCAGCAGTAGCTAGGGTATCCCGGACTAAGGATGCCCTCCACCGGGCGGGTGCCCTGACATCCGCACCTGATGCTCGATAAATAAAGGTTTATTCATCATCATCAAAGAAAGGGCGCCATTGCAAAAGGGGACGGAAGTGCTGTAATAGTTGCAAGTAGTCTTAGTACTATCAAAAATATAATCAGGTTACTCTTTTTATTACTTCCTAATAAATGTATTAAAATTATTTATAATTTACTTCAAAAAGGAACAGATTGCAAGTACTCTGATTGCTTGAAATGAGTGCCGTACAGGTTTGTCCGTACCCCACGTTTGCTTGTCTATACTCCGTTTCATACTTAGCGTGCAACGCTGTCAAAAGCTACTGGCGCGGGCATTGGACTTGGTCTCGTTGATCATTTGCACGCCTTCTCGCGCAGACAAAACCATAGATGAAGCCACGCGCTCGCGCCAGTAGCTTTGACAGCGTTGCACACTAAGTGTGAAACGGAGTGTAGGTTACCTTCAAATGTCAACCGTACGACATTGTTATTCGAGACCTGTTGAGTTAGCAGGTCTAGGAGGTATTGTCAGCACCTAGCATCCGTTTTGAAGTCCCCATACCTCTCCAGGTGCATACATATTCTACTACGTGGTGTCAAGTCTTGAGGCATAACCTAATAAACACACACTCTAAAAAAGATTCTGGTCGGAAAATAATTTTAGGGGCTCTTCGGCTTGGCCATATTTTGCACCCTAAAAGTTTTTTTAAGCACCCCCTAAAATAGGGGGTGCTTAAAAAAACAGTTGCCTTTTTAGTGCGCCAGGGAGCGATAGTAGCTGAGGCGAAACCGTTCTTCACGAGCTCAAAGATTTCTTGGGCGTCAAAAAATTTTTAAGAATATATTAGTTTTTGTCCTTGTTTTTTTAGAAGGCAGGGTGCTTGTTTTCAATTTCTCGTGTCCTCCGCTAGAAAGTGTCGCTTCAGTTTGAATTGGGAATAGACGTTGCAGGAAAGTCGCCCGAGGATTTAAACAAAGGGAAATATAAGGTACTTTATTAAAAACCAGAAGTTTAGAATCTTATAATTTTTCAACGGATGATTAAAAAATTAATAACAGATGGATTAAATTTTTTAAATTTATTTTACCCTATATATGGTTTTAATTACAGCAGACGGCGAGGTGAAAAAAAAAATTGCGGGATTGTTGTTTACGCATAAATTTAACAAATTATTTTAAATCCTTTAGGCCCTCAAGAATCTGGGTATGGTCTTGAAATCTGGAGGAATGAACTTCACGCACGGTATGAGCAGTTTCTAAAAAGGAAATCAAAAACTATGTTTAAAGAAATAATTTGACGTACGGGATCCAGATGGTCTAAAAATAAAAACCTTCATGGCACGTAGCAAGTGCAGTATCTGAAAGAAACTTGGCATAAATGACGCTTGAGTATATTCTGAAGGGGACACTTAACGATTGCAAGTGATCGAATGGGGCAATCTACGCAATATCATATGAATTATAAAAATACAATTAATTAGCGACAACATGCCTACAATACCTTCATAACAATTTCGCTGGAGTCGTCTTTTTTTTTTCTTCCGAGTATTACACCGCAGTTTGTTTGGACAAGCACAGAACCTTAACTATTAAAACATATTTTTAAGAAATGGAAGCGCAGTTGTTTTCAGAACTGAGTTCGTTTCGTTTTTTTTCTCCAGTTGTAAGGTGTAACGTGTACCTCACAGATATAAGCTACAGTAAAAAGGTGGACATGCTCTATACACAGTGTAAGTCGTTTATAATGTGGTATACTATATTCTTCAATCGGACGCGCGAAATATTAAAATCTTTTGAATTCGTGTTGGTGTTTTCCTAGTCTTTACAGAGAACTATCCTGCAAGAACGGTAATCCAGGTGGAAGGATTACACCAGGTAAATTTACATTTTGTAAAAAAAGAAAAAAAAGTTTGATTTTCTTTTTTGCTTATAGTTCTGTCGAAGCCCGACAACTTCGCTAGAAAAACATCGAGGTACTGCCAGACACCAGACACCATGTCCTGATGCTTTAATTAAGAGTTCTACTTATAGGCAAAAGGAGCACACCGACATAAATATACAAATAGAAGAAAAATACGAAAAACACGTTTTCGCGGTGTATTGTCTGGTCACGTTCTGTTTGTTCTCTCCACAGTTTAGCTCATTCAGTTTATGTAGCATACCGCCAATGTTCTCAATCAAATTCTTAATGCTGTACTTGTAAAGAAATCATGTATGAATTTTCACTGTTAAGAAGTGATAGTGTCTTACGACACAATGGCGGATTGATGAAAGAGAACTTTTACCTATAAAAGTGTTTATGCGCTTTTTTTTACTTTTACAATAAAATTATTTTGAGCGAAACTATTGATGTGGTTTAAGATGCACATTTCAATGTTTCAAAAAGGAGATATATATACAATATTATGCTATATACCTTGTTAAAAAAGGACGCAGCCTTCAAGCATTAATGCACGAGGAAAAAAGGCGTGTGCTCGAACATCTACAAAAAAAAAAAATATCAGAAATGTTCATAGTATGAATACACGTGCTTCCACCAGAAACATGAACAAAATTCCCACGTACCAGCCCTTTACTTCTGAGACATAGGCGCTTTTCTACCAAGAGGCCGAGCAGCAGAGCGGTTGGACGACGGCCGGCAGTATTCCACAAATCTTGAAAGTACAAGCTAAAACTCAGCGGTTTATTTTAATAGTACGGCGTGGATCAAATCCACTTTAAATAAATCTCAAAAATCAGTTATAAGATTCGGATTCTCAGGTAGTGCAATGTATAAAGAAGTTACAACTGGGTGGTGCAGGTTTTTATAGGTATAAAGAAGCAAATTGGAGGCGAATCAAAAGTCACAGCTAAGAAACAAAATTTTTTTATGTCAGTATGCAGTTAAGCCTCAATTAAAAGTTAAAACGATTCTCGTGGTCCGTTAGAAACTTTTAGTGGACAAAACACGGGCGTAATACCTAAGTGATAACTATTTCTAACCTCTTTGTTTCAGTTAGATGAGATGTCAAAAACGACCACAAAAACGTTTTTATCACGGCGCAAAAGGAATCAGCATCTTACCGAGGCTTAAATATTTGCTTTTGTTTTTTTTTGTTTTTAGTTCTAATGAATGCTTGAGGTAGGTTTGATCTTGTATATTTTCAAGAAGCAAAATCACCACCCAGTTGCCTCTTCACGCTAAATTTCAGTGTGAGAGCATGCGAAACTAATTTTAGAGATTGATTTAAAAAGTGTTTGCTTCAAATTAGCCCTCGTCGTAAATTGTAGTCCCTTAAAATTAAAGAAACGAAGAGCGTGGTGCGCCCCTATCGTCTCAATAAGGAGTTTTAGGAGATCGTTCCGATATCTCCGATAACGATACCCAATACTACACCGACGCCTTTGAACATGCACCTCATCGTTACAGAGTATCATTATCAGAGGTATCGGAACGATCTTCTAAAACTCCATATCATTGCTTCCGAGTCAATGCGACTGCGACGTTAGCCGACAAGAACGCTAAAGAACGAATCGCAAAGTAAAAAAGCGCAAAGATAATAAGCCACACCCCGAGTAGTTGTCACTGACTATGCGGAGCGCAATTTCGTCTGCTACTCTTTGCAGGGGTTGCGATGACGTCAGAACACCGAGTTCTGATTGGAAGGATTGTGGGTAGACCTCAAGGCACCAATCAGTGCCAATCAAAGCGAGGCGTTGTGACGTCACTGCAACCCCTGCGCAGGAAGCAGACGAAATTGCGCTTCGCATAGGCTAGACTATTTTCGTCATATTGAATGGGTTAAACCAGCGCAAAAAAGACGAAGGACCATTAAGAGTAAACACACAGACACAGCGCTCGAATGGGTTAAAACAGCGCAAAACAGACAAAGGACCAGTAAAAGGAAACACACAGACACAGCGCTGGGACGAAGGACCAGTAAAAGGAAACACACAGATACAGCGCTGTGTTACAGCGCAGCGTTACAGCGCTGTGTCTGTGCGTTTTCTTTTACTAGTCCTTCGTCTGTTTTGCGCTGTTTTAACCCATTTAATATGACCATCAACCAACTCGACCAACTTTACACCTTGTTGCAGTTACTATTTTTGTCACGTGTTTGCAGCAGCTGGGTTGTAGATTTTCGCTGATCCCCCTAACACGCAATGCTGTTTCTGCTGGGGGAGTTTGTAAGTCCTTCGAAGATGCCGACGGTCTAGCAACATATGGCTGGGTTGCCTCGCATGCGAGAAGTTTCGAGGAAACTGTTTTAGAAGGCAGGTGTGCTTCTGGTTTTCAGGCTATAGATGGCGCAAGCTGCCTCCCGTTATAAAATTTACAGCCGTTAACATCCATTCACCCATTGGCAATTTTGTCTTTATGCGAAGATGGCGCATTCATTTGTCCCAGCCCTTTTTATATGAATGATTCTAGTGAAAGGGCCAATATTCATACGACGTTCATCGATCACGAAAAGAGTGACTATAGTATTTATTTTTTTTTTGTTTTTTTCACACAGGGGTCCAGCATGGAAATCGACGCCATCGCGGTTGACCCAGCTTATTAGATCTCTTGTCTACGGAACTGTTCAGTTCATGAAGACCAACGTAATAATCAAACGCGGGACAGGTGCTGCATTAAAACTTGGCACAAAAACGCTCCTCTCATTATTCGCGTTATGTACCCTTACGCATACGCACATCGGCACATCAGTTATGTAAAGTCAAAGTAAAGAAGTGCTGACCTACGGATCCTCAGACGGCAAGCTTGAAAATGGGGGACTATGGCTTATGATGCCATGGAACTGAAACATCGTTTCCTGGTGGTTTCTAAGTTCTCTTAATTAATACTCAGCCCTTTGCAAGGAGCGAATGTACGTAGGCGAGCAGTTTGTTATTTATTGCGTAAACTTTCTACATTTTACTTAATTTATTTTTGTATGTGCATTCAATCTTTCTTTCTAAATGACTGTAGTCAAGTTTAAAAAAAAAAAAAAAAAACACAAAGCTGTCCAAAGTTTTACGTCATGCACAAAGGTTCAGTTTATACGTCGAACCAAAATGAGTGTCGAACATGTTTGCGTAAAAAAGCCCATAGAAAATACAGTTGACTCCAGAACTGTACGCTGCGGCATGAGCGGCGAAAGTTTTATGCCAGCTGGTTCAACGAAACACAAGCTGCAGCACATCCTATCACTGCGGTACTCGCGTCAGTTTATGCGCCTACACTCAATCAGAAGCTAGCCCGCATGCCCACATTCACACAAACGGGTAAACGTAGCGCACATCGACCTCTCCGATCCTAGTCTTCTGATTGACCGAACGAACATTTCCGTCGCACAGCTCGTCAAGGTCACCTGACAGCCCCGGATCCAGTTTAGCGAGAAGTGCCGAGTCGCCTGCTCTCAAAAATTGCAGCCACAGTGTCTTCCCGCGCTCGCCTGCGAGCTGCTGTCCCGCCAATCCGTCGTGATACTCAGCAAGTTTTATGAAGCGCTATCTTCAGCGAGCATTTAAGGCCTAATCTATATCTGTCACGTTCCCAGAGCGGCGTCGTAACTCTTTATCGTTCAATTTCACGGTTGATACCCGTCGCTGCCCCTGTCACTTCTACCGCCGAAAATGACCAGAACGATGGGAAGTCTTCTAATTCATCTTGCGCTTTTGAGCGTTTTCTGCAGTCGGTTGGACGTCGGCGCTGAACACTGCGAGGTCCAGCGCGAAGTTGTCACCAGTCCTGACGTTGCCGAAGTTACCGGACCACTGAGGTAAGGAAGATTGCCTGAGGATCGAGAGCCTATAAATTATGATTACGGTTCAAACGTTGTGGGTGAAGACGGGAGTACTATCTATATTCACCGGCCTCCAGCTCACCCTTGTTGCCATACATCGTGCTTTCATTGAGTTCGCACACTCGAGGCTCACTAGGTGCCAAAGCGTTATCGAATGTTGGAAGCTCGCGCGCGGTGAAGTTGGGCGACTGAAAGGCCTCCGTGCCGTTTCCATTCCGTCAATGTCTAAACTTTGTTAGGACAAAAAATTTGCAGGAGTTGCTTCACAAAGAGAAAACAAGACTTCCAACACAGAAGGACGCTGGCGTGCTGGTAACCTTCTGATTAACTTGTGTTTAGAGGAAGCCGGTAAACATAATCGATTTGTCTATCCTGTAGAATATGTAGCTTTACTTTTCATGCAAACCTTTGCGTTTATAGAAGTGCACGCTTCGTAATGTGTTATTCTGTAAAAAAAAAAAAAAAAAGAAAGAAAGGAGTTTGTGCTTTTTATAGAGTACAACATTTTTCTTTCTCCAGGAATTTGGGGGATAACAGTCGTTCAGAGGTGCTGCACTCAGAGTTCATGCTGGTGCTGATTACACTACGACTGCCGGGAACCCCTATTTTATTTAGAATGATACGATCACAAAGTTAAACGAAAATGAAGAGTTCTTTTGAGAATATTTTGTTCTAAATGTTTTTGTTGTTATTTTCAGCAACGCAATCCGTGTTGGATGTACCATGTACATCTCAGGGCAAATTGGACTGATCCCCGAAACGAATACCTTAATCTCCGGTGGAATCATGAACGAAACCCGACAGGTAATATTGTTTTCTTTAGACGCCGTACTCTTCAAAGACATTAGCGGAACATTTTTCAGTCTGACATTTACTGTCCCTCCACGGTCGTTACTACGCTCTTACTAGTCACAACCACCAATGCACGAAGGTTTACGGTATGGGTTTCCACCATTAATGCTGGTTACATGTCCATCTCCCGCACTGCCTAATGAATGCGCCTTGCAAACCACGAAACAACGAACTCGACATGGCCTATTCGGTTTACTTGTCAGGCACCCTTTCCCATTGCTAACAACGCCCAGTTATACTCGAGCGACTGGATATTCTGGCGAGTAGAAGCTAGTTTACACATTTGCACTTGACTATGCTCGAGTAAATCGCGTTCCATTTGTAACCCCTTTCAACGACAGAACTCACTGGCGCCCACTGGCGCCCACGTTTAAGGCCCGTGTACAGCCTTGCATTTGCTTAGGACAGAGTTATTGCAATGTTTGCGACGTGAGAACACACGGGAATGCTGGCGCCATCTATGAGGCGACACGGCAACTGCATTTGACTAGAGCGAAGGTTTCCTGGCATTTGCGATATCAAATTTACGCACTATCAATGATACATGGTCGTTCATAACATTGTCTACAGCTAAGTGGAAAGAAATTTGTAAGGATAATATGAATCAGATTTGTTTTGGTTTAAATTAGATTGTGCTTATTTAAGTATGTGTTAATAAAAACCACTAATTACTTATCACTTGATCTACTTTTAAACATGGCTGGTTGATTGACCAATCGGATCATTGAAAACAATGCAGATGAACGAATTTGTGTATATTTAAAGAACACGTTGTTTAACAGATTTTACTGTTGTAAATCCAATCATACTAGGAGATAATCGGGTTGATTTTTTGGTTAGTTAAAAAGCTTTATTGTAATATTTTTTGCATTGACTCTTTTTTTTGCGTTTTTTTCTTTGGCGTTGTGATTTTCTCGTAATAAAACACCACGTGACATGACGAACAAAGTAGAAGGTAGTAATAAATCATATCGTTTCGACTTGTTCAGAAGAGCACTGCTTTTCGCTCGCGTTCAGTCTGCTATAGCCTTTCTTGCTGATGACTATTTTATTTGAAAAAAACAAAATCACATACAGAGCGTCAAACAAACGCACGGAAATATTTTAGGAATTATTTCTGAATGAAAGGTATGACTTAAAGCATCAATGTAAATGATTTAAATCAGAATTTAAATTTTAACTTAAAACGAGATTTAAAATAAAAAATATATATCATAATTTTTTTTTGATTTTTTAGTTTGTTCTAAAGTTATAAGACCCTAAAAAAGTAATGATGCGCGAAAAAAACAAATATACGCAATACACAAAAATATCCCGAAATATCCAGTGTTTCGAGGCTATCCCATTGGTGGCGCCAGCTGTGTTCTCTCGTCTTAAGAACTTTTAGGAGGTTTTAAGGCACACGAAGCTAAGCAGGCGTAAGTGTGTGAACGAGCCTTTGGGCTGCGAATTAAATTTTATATTCGTTTTACGTATAATTTTTTCACCGTGGGCCCGAAACAATATTGAAAATGTTATAACTTATACAAGCTATCATTTCTCAATGATGGTGCCTAGATTTGATTTCACAAATACTGAAAACATTCACTCGGTTCCACGACTTCCAGATAGATGGCGCCAGCCTACAAGTGCGTCCTATATTTGTAAGCGGTTATGAGAGTACGCCGGCTAATTCGACCACAGTCAGTCACGAACGTATAAACCAGCCTAAATAGTCCCACCATGTGTCCCACGTTTCTTGAAAAAAATAAGAAAAAAAAAACACGATAAAACTAGCGACTTACATGACCCTAGAGCCCTCTTTGAAATAAGCGAGAAAAGCGGCGCCCGCAAGTATTTATACGAATTGTTATACGATTATTCCAGTTGTTTATACATTATGGTCTTATATTTAAAGACAGTCGCATTCTAATACAAAACAAGAGAGAATATGGATAAAGGAATAACGCCGGACGATGGCAGTTAAATTGGAAGACAGAGGTGAGCGCCGCGTCGTGGCCACTACACGATAGAGTTCGCCTTTATTTCTTTTAGTTTCAGAGTCTGCCTCACCGTGAGTTCAATTTTATGTGGTAGTTACAAGACTTGGTAAGTTAGTTTCAATCTAATCGACCGCAGCCGTCATGAAATACTACAATATTTTCAACATGTTGCGCCACCTCTTGATAAGGGAACCAAACAGGATTCGTGACCCGAATCATCTGTCTGAACATAGCCTCCTATATACTGACAAAGCCTGGCAGATCGCCACAAGAAGCGGCCGCCGAAATAGAAAAGGTGAAGTGGCAGACAATGTATAAGAAGACAACCACGTAACTGGCGCCCCGCTGCGGCGAGACGCCGAAACACACTACTCCCGACCGAACAAGTCTGTTTCGGGTCCTCGCCGCTACAAAAGCTGTACGCTGACGTCCAGCTTTCCCGAGAAGAATACTGTTTGATGCTCTGTACTACCGGATCGTCGCGCTCGAAAGCTGCGACCGGGCACTCTATGGCTCCATCGTCGAGCTGCCAGGCTTTGTGAGTATAGAGGAGGCTATTGTCTGAGCCATCATCAGGCGGTATACACTAGTGCGTTGCTCAGACGTCACGTTACTAATGTCGCAGGGGGGCAAACGCTGACTTGTTCGTGATCTATATTCCCCAGGATGTTATTGTGATATTTGACGTCATTTTTGTTCCTGAAACGGAGAGATGTTTTTGAATTCTAGTTTTCGAAAACATTCCGATAAGCCGAACAAACAACGACACTTGTGCGGGAGCTGCTGCGTTGTTGAAAATTAAACTGACGTCATGGAATAAACGGGTATCAGCGGGTCCTTGAGTGTCAGTGAGATCCGTTGTTTTTTGTTGCTTTCGTGTCTGGATCATAACACATGCTTTCCCCGCGGTTTTCAACATTAATGAAGGGGGCACCCTTTCTGTCTTCAATACAAGCTTCAAATTACTTGGACTGATAAATAAAATGTCTGCCTTGTGGATGAATCAAGATATCCAGGAAGCAACCAAAAAGACAGCGCGCACATGAAGCCGTAGCACACCAATTTTTGGGTCGATAGAACGTATGCGCTCGTCTGTGTTGCGTTGAAAGTAGCAGATGTAGTAATATGCTACACTAACATGCACGTACAGTTCATCAGATTGCTAGAGATTGATGTAGGTTTTTGTAGTATTCATTGGAAGACGTTATTAGAGGCGTTTATTAGTCTTCAAGCGATTCCGCCTTCTCCGATGAAGACGGGCAAGACGCAAATTGTGGACATTCCGGTTGTCTTTAGAAACGTGACCGGTACATGTGATGCAAACTAGGTCCGAGTTCACGTCCACTCTTTTGTTTTCCACTAGGCACTGACGAATCTGGGAAATGTTCTCAAGGCAGGACGGATGAGCTTTAAGAACGGTAAGTCGCCACATCAAGGAAGCAAGCTGCAGCGCAGTATACTGAAAAGATATTGGAAATCAGCTGTCCTTTCTAATTTCTTCAATAATTATTAGACGTCATAATTTTAAAGAAACAAATCCAAAGCCATATAATACATTTAATACTATAGACATGACGCTTCTAAAAATTTTGGCCTATCACGACAGTTGTCCTGACACTGTAGTCACAATATGTAGCGTATTATATCTCGCCTCACTTGATGCCGCAGCTATTAATCTTTAATTGCTCGTATACTGCGAGCAATTTAATATGTTTTATGCCGCAAGTGCCTTAGTCTATCTGTTGAATAATCCGAGACAACAAAATATGGGAAGGAGATACAGACATACAGATTGCTTGACCAGGCTTTGTTATTTCGCTCACTGCTTTATGACGTTTAAGCCTTTAACCGGTAAGTGAGCATTCCGCGACCAGCGAGGCGGTTTCATGTTGCACACGGCACGAGCGTGGCGACGTGGACGAGTTAGTTCAGGTTTAAGCAACAAATTAAACAACGCGCTAAATAACGAAAGCGGAAGAGAAGAAGTACACTGTGCTCCTCCTGCGTCCCTTGTCTCCTGTCTTCGTTGTTTTGCACGCTGTTTCAATTATTGTCTAAGGTCCACACGACAGTTTTGACCAGAAATGGGGTTGAGCAGGAGCGAGGAGCACTTTCAATGGACCGATCTCAACAGCCAGTTTGACTACGCCACCGGTGCCGCAATGCATCAAGGGAAATTTAGTCCGTCTGCACGTGCGACAACCTCGCTGGTATGGCTACCAATTCGAGGAGGAATATCTGGCGACTTAGACGAAACGTAAGAAAACGGTGCTGTGTGAACCAGTTTTAAAAGTTGAACCGAGCTGAACTCCTTACGTTACGTTATGACGAGCCTTGTGCCCTTGGTTGCCACGGTAACTCACCGTCCTAGCTCGTCGTCACTGAAACATTCGTGCTTAGAATGTCGCATGCCAGGCTATCTTCTTGAATTGGTAGCCACGCTTAATACGAAGCAAAGATTTCTCGATGACTTGGACATGAGCTTTCATAACGTAACGTAAAGTAACGTAACGTAAGAGGGTGGGTCTGTGTGAACCAGCCTTTAGTGAGATCGGTCTACTGGCATAGTCCGGCATCTCGTACTTGGGCGCAGAACGTCTTCATTCCGTTTTTACCCCTCCCCCCCTCCTCCTTTCCCACTTCGCGACTTGCTGTCCGGCCCCCTGCAAGTCGTCTACCTGACGACCTGACCCGCCGCTGCGAAAGGCTGCCGGTTGCCGACACGCGCCTTATATCTTCGAAAGTTGCAAAACAAGACACGCTCAAAGTACAAAAGCCAGTACACCTGCACACAGAATGGTGCATCAACAATCACTATGACGTACGATAGGTGCTGGGTGAACGACGTTTTGCGGAGGGTGTTCTTCGGGACAAATACAGACGGAGTCAGATACTACACGTCCTGTAGCGTCAACGTAGATTAATAATTTCGTGTGAGAACTTTACATGTACGCTTTGTTTTCACGCGCTGTGAAAAATGAAGACAGTATTTCTCCAGAAAGAGTATTTCCAGGTATTCTAGTGCCATGACATATTGGAGGTTCCTGAATAAGTCCGATTAATCTTGTTTTTTTATTACAGTCGCAGTTGTGACGGTGTACCTTGCTGATATCAACGATACCGATGCGTTCAACAGCGTTTACAAAGAGGGTAAGGAACATTATGAACTTAACTCAAATTTTGATAAAAATAAATCCTACAGCGTCTTTATTTATATATATTTTTTTCCAATCTAGTGTTTTCCAGCAAGTATCCAGCGAGGGTGGTAGTCGAGGTGTCTGGCCTGCACTATGTAGGTATCTTTACTCACAAAAGAGATAAGCCTCGTCTTATCTTCATCTCATCAAAAATACTTGTGATCTCTTGCCCAAAGCCATAATCTAACCTCTGTTATGCCTCCTACAGAATGCTCGTGTGGAACTGCAGACCATCGCCGTGGACTCAAGAACTTAGATCCGGCAGTGTACTATTTTTATAATAAAACGCTGTGCATCGGGTAAAATAAAAAAAAATAAAAAAGATATAATTTTCTGCCATTCTATGAACCTCACACAAACGGTGGCAATATGACTTTACATGTCCTGTTCAGCGGGTCATCCCTTCCTAGTACGTGTAGCCTGCCGGCCATACATAACAAAAGTGATCATGTTGTCATCGACGACGTCTCATCTGAAAGGTGAGAGTACCTGATCGAATAATTTTAAAACTATTACTCTAACGAATCGGGAATGGCTGGCCAGCATTTTTTATATGTTTTCTTTTATAAACGAAGCCAATTACTTTTCAGCAGAGAACGTTCATGACCAAGTAGGACAGCACAGGGGCAGAGCAACTGGCCACGAAGAACTCGTCAGCCTTTTTTTCGCGTTTTCATCTAGCCCTTGAATTTCCATCCGAGAATATATTCATTGATTCCCTTCTATCTATCAGAATATATTTTCCGGCTTTGACGTGTTAGGTAATGGCCACGAGACGGCACCACCGATGAAACAGAAGTAGGCTGCATAGATGCAAGATGAAAAAAAGAATTTTTTTTTTTAATGAAGCAAATCAGATTCATTTGATTTCAATCGGATTTATTTGATTTAAATTATATTAATACATTTTAAATCACTTTAGATAGAAAATACTGATTCTTTACCATTACATGTATTTTTCAACAAGGCAGATTGATTGATCAATTCGTCCAAATTCATTGATAACTAAAGCCTTGCTCTGATAACAGTTTGGTCATCTGTATCCGATCCGCATCCGCAGACTTTGTATCCGCATCCGAACCGCATCCACAAAATTCAAAACGGTATACAACCCTCTGTCCGCGCATTCATCTTGTAACATAAAAGCGACCCCCCCCCCCCCCTCTCCAAAAAACAAAAACAAAAAAGGTGTACAAGTTGTCAAGCATCTACTACGCAAAACGGAGTGTGCCAAAGAAAGAGGGTCCCTTGTCCGTATCCCCAGTCTCGGGTTACAACTATGCTCAAAAGACTCTTGGTTGAGCCTCCTCAACTACCGGGCGGCTCCCCTTGAAGATGGCCGTTCACCCGCAGAACTACTGATAGGCCGAGAACTACGAACCCTACTTCCCGACTTCACCGCGTCTCCCGCATCTCCGGTCAAAAAGCACGTCCAGAACGAGACGAAAGGAAAACAGCTAGCTCCTCTTCCGCAGGGAGACATCGTGCGAATCCTTAACAACGGGCGATGGGAGCGTAAAGCACAAGTGCAAGGCTTGGTGTCCCCAAGGTCATACACGGTGCTTACCGAGGACGGCCGGATCTTCCGCCGTAGCCGACAGCATCTTCGAAAGACATCGGAAGGATTCTCCATCTTTATCAACGACAGCGACTCAGAGGACGACAACGACGATTGCTTGCCACCATCAAGAGATGGATCACAGCCCCCCTCACCGACCAGAACCTCCTCGAAACCAGGTGCTGCCTCACCCACCAACCTTACCCGTCCTTGAGCAGGCGTCAGCAGGAGCAGGACCTCAGTCCAAGAGACATAGAAGGCTACCACAACGCCTGGGCTACATAAAAGGCTTCCAACAGGCAGAACTAATCTAAACGAGTACAGCCCGCTCCACGCGCTGCTCGTGGTTGTTGTGTATAACTTTGTTCTTTCAAAGAAAGGGGGATGTACCATATGCTAGCGGGGGCAACACTGCGTGCACGCATAGTGACCAAAGGAGCGCGTGCCCAAAAATAAAAAAGTTGTTCTTGTTGCTGGCACTGATCGTGAACACACTACCTTTAAGGCCCGTTCACACTCTTGCAACCGGGTACGACCGCGAGAGACCAGACCGGTTTTTAAGCCTCTTGCGACCTCTTAGGACCGGATGCGCTGCAGCGGGGTTGGTCCTAAGAAGTCGCAAGAGGCTTAAAAACCGGTCTGGTCTCTCTCGGTCGTACTCGGTTGCAAGAGTGTGAACGGACCTTTACAGTTATGAAGCGTTCTTCATAACGAGGAGCGTTGAAGGAACGTCTGTCAACGCTCCATCGAAAGCCCTGTTTGACTCTGAGGTGGCGTTTTTTTTTTTTTTTTTTTAAATCTTTCGAATAGTAACTTGTAGACAGATAAGAATTGGTGCGATGATGTTCCAGTTCTTTCGTCACATGTCTTGGTTTTACAGTGTGTATATATATGTTTTTCCATAAGTGAACTTCAGTTACAAGTAGCGTTCTGTAATGTTGGTCTCATTCACTTGTCCATTGTTTTTTAGTGCTTTTACCCTCTAAGCTTGTACTGTCCTGTCCTCCCTTTTCCTTTGTCTTCCGCGCTAATATTTTTATGAAGATATATTTTTAACCCGGCAGATCGATCACTGAAGACAATGCGGAAGAGTTACTGTAACCTAAAGTATAATCTAAGAAGCAAATTTTTTATTAATATAAATTCAGCCATAAAAAAAACTGCTTGGTTTCTTAGCTAGTTAAACTGTTTATTTGCTTTATTTCCCGTTGATTTCATTACAATAGGATGTTGTGCAACTAACGATTGAAGAGTAAGGAAGAAAGAGAGCTCAACACTCCGATTTGCTCAGAAAAGCACTGCTCTCTGCATGTGTTCAGCCTAATATAAATAATCCTTGTTTGATGATTCTGTTTTGTTTAAATATAGCAGACATGCACATAGAAAGTATCAAGTGACAGACAGACGGTATATACAAAAATATTTTCGGGATAAATTTTTGGGAAAGCTTTGATTTAAAACTTCATAGTGTAACCGGGCTGATTGAAATCACGATTTAAATCATCTTTATTTTTATTCTACCCCCTGCTCTGATATCTATTGAACCTCTTTCGCCTACTCCGGAATAAGTGAAAGATCGTCTCCCGTCTCCGGCCGATTTTGCTTTGACCGTTGAAAAGGTGCCATTTTCGTTGAACCTAATGTCTTTTATTTTCCCGGTTTTGTCTTTCCACGAAGTTACCTCCTTACGGGGATCATTGGCTGTCAGCATTGGATACTAGAGTGGCACCAACTATACTGCGTTTCACCCTGCGACACTTGTTTATGGGCACAGAAATAAAGAGATGACGCTGAAGATATACCATAGCGAAGGCTACGAGCGCGAGTGAGCACATTTTGTCGGCACAAAATCTTGGCCAACAAGAGCAATTGTTAAACCCGGGAGCTAAAGCTTCTAACCTTCGTCGAGAATTTTTTTGTTAACGTGAAATGAAGTTTTGAAAGATTGACATTGAGGCATTTTCATCGTTTATTATACACAATATCCCGAATTGTATGCGCAGATCGCAGTGGTGGCAAGAGTACAAATGCGTGGCTTTCGAGAAGTGCTGTCAATGCGCGGAAATCTCTGCAAACGAGACACTCTACACAGCTTGGCTGCACTGCTCACGTCCTGCGAGCTGGCAATGACACTCCAGCTGTAAAGTTAGTCCACGTGTCGTAGCACATAACAGATGTACCTCGAGGCTAAATAAATAGGCTAAAAAAGTACCCCTCGCGCATCTGGGGCGTGGACCCGTAGGTGGGAGAATGGTTTAGCTGTAGGGACCGACCTAAAAACGGTTTCCGGTGTTTTAGATTGTTTCTGGCATTTGTACGGCTTGGGGGCGACACGGTGGTTGCTATCGCAGTGTCCACGTGTAAACTCAAACGCATGCACGACGGGTGAACTCGCCACTTTCCCTTTTTCAGGGTAGCGAAAGAGAGAAGAGGGTAAGAGATAGGAGGACATGACTTCCCGTACTGGACTGTGAGGATGACGCGTTTACACAAACGTGCCTTTAGCCAGAGCTTGCCAGTTTGTATGACGATACCTTTCGGAGCATAAACGACCCTAGGTGTCAAACGTGCAGAGGAAGGAGGGTGAAGAGGAAACGAATGAGAGGGAAAAAAATGATCGATCTGTGGAAGCCTTGAGTCTCTGTGCTCCAATTTGTCTGCTATTTTTTTCAGTCGACGAAGGAATATGATCGGGGGACGCTTGCTTCGTTGGTTTTTCCTCAGTGCTGTCATCTCACAGTCGGGCACCAGTGAAGTCAATCCAGGTACAGCCACCAGCGGCTATATGGTCGCAGCCCCGAACGTTACAGTGTATGGCGGTCCTTACAGGTAAACAACTTTGTCGAATGGTGGTGAAAATGTGTGTATCGAAGTTCACCGGCGCGTTGCAATCTCCTCCAAACGTAATTACTCTGCTTCGTGTTCACGTTTACATTTTGTGTATAATAGACAGACCCTTTCCCGAATTCAGTGCGATCTGGTGACGCAAAAGGCAGTTTAACTTTTACCGTGCTAATGGCGGTAATTTATCGTTGACTTTCGCAAGTCAACGATAAACGAGAATGTGCGCTTCATTGCACAGTTCCTTTTCGATATCTTTCAGCGTCGATGGCGAAAAAATGCAACCAGTCAGAACGAAGCCCCAACCCACATAGACGCCTTGATGAAGTTCTATACGCCAAGGGGCTTTGAAGCCGAGTGTGTGCTACTAACAGATTGACTGGGCCCGAGTTAGAAATTAACGCTTACGCAGCTCTTGCATGCGATTCCTGCTTCACGTCGCGCTAACATCTAGAATGTGTAGGCCTCGAATCATCTGCTCAGGAGAATATTCAATTTCTTTCTTCATCAGTAAACAGAAGGCCACCATTAGTATAGCACATATACAATTTTTCAGATGACGATAGTGATCAAAGTGGCCAGACTGAATTCCCGAAAGGGTCCATTGCGCAGTTAATTCGCAATCACGCTTGAATTTATCGGTGCATTTTTTTCATGCGTACTTAACCCGTATAAACGACACGGAGCAAGGCTCTCATTATGGTGCCCGAAACGCGTCCCCGACTGGTGTGGTCACCACGTTCGCATTTGTAGTCTCTCGAGTTCCGCCTTGTGACGTCATCGAAATGTCACGTACTTGCCTGTAGCGACCCGGCGGTGGAACAAAAGCGGGGTTGGATGCGGCGGACACTTGTTCTGCTGCAGCTCATTCTGCAGCCTGGCAGTCTGCGAAAACCAGAGTAGGCACAAGACGGGACGACGCGGCGACAGCGACCCTTGTAGTTCGCTCGGCGT